GTGTATGAGTCTAGCTGAGTGCATAGTGGGATCTCAAAATAACAGATACAAAGTAATGAATATTTTCTTTACTTATGGCAGGACACCCATGAATGTTTCCTGCTGAAGTGCTTCTACAAATTCCTTGTCCTTAGTCAAGCGTGGTGCCTGGGCTGCAGTATGAAATCCTGTCTAAAAAGCAAGCAAGAAATTCCTTATTCTCTTGTATTATATTGGCTTAGCCCAAAATACATTAGTTTCAGATATAGTAATTAAATCCTTTTTATGTATTTTAGACAGAATCTTTACCCAGGAAGGTTCAAACTCCGTGTATAGCTCAGGCTGGCCTTAAATTGGAGGTCTTCTGTCTTAGCCACCTGAGTGCTGGGATTGCAAGTATGTACCACTACTACTCTGGGCTATGTATATTTTGCTTACCATTGAAAATTGTCAACAGTGTTACATACATTTTTAAGGATTTTCTAGATCCTAAGAAAATACTTGGGGGAAGGGAAGACGGCCCTGCCTTTGAAAGATGATTTATTAATTGCATCTGAAAAGCTACTAAAGCAGGAGCTTTCTCTTGCTGTATAGTAGACATTCAGAGCTGGGCATGGTGCTACGTGGTTGTAATCCCCGCACTGGGGATGCCAAAGCAGGAGAATTACCTCTGGCTCAATGATAGCCTATACTGCATAGAGAGATCCTGTCTAGAAAGGAAAAAGGGGGAAGAACAAAAATAAGTAAATGAATTTAAAATAATTCCAAGTAGTTCATAATGTAGAACCTGATAGTTGAGAAATGACTGCAGGCTGGGTAGTGGTAGTGCCCACCTTTAATCCCAGCACTCGGGAGGCAGAGGCAGGTGGATCTCTGCATTCAAGGACAGCCAGGGCTACACAAAGGAAGCCCTGTCTCAAAAGGAGGGTAGGGGAGGAATATTTTTTATCTATGATAAAAATGTTTTCTTGGTTCTTATAGCCTCACAGGCAGTAGATATTTTGTGAGAGTAAAAATCTTAGTTTTTAAGAGGGAAGGGAGAATAACTGACCTAGGTTTAATTCCTAGCATATGTCTCTTTTCACAACTATAAATAACTTCAGTTCCAAGGGATTTCATTTAATGCTCTCTTCTGGCCTCCTTGGCATGAGGCACTCATGCAGTACATATCCATACATGCAGGCAAGCACATATAAAAAATAAAAACAAGTATTTTAAAAAGGTAAAACAGGCCAAGGAAAAAGTCAAAGATTGGTTCTGTATTGCTTTTTAAGATTTGTGTTATGTGTATGAGTGTTTTGCCTGCGTGTATGTATGTGTACGCCTAGGGATCTGCTCGAACAGGAGTTACTGACGGTTGTGATGCTGGGGCTCAAATCTAGGTCCTTTGCAAAATTAAATGCTCTTAACAATTAACTTCTTCTCTCCAGCCAAAACTTACTTTTATGCAGGACTTCTTTAGAAACTTGAATATTCTAATATATATGAATGTAGAGTGGGCCAGCCAAATGGCTCAGGGAATTTAACCCCGAAGCCTGATGACCCAAGTATTATTTTTTTAATTTATTTTTATTATATGTAAATACACTGTAGCTATCTTCAGACATCCCATAAGAGAGCATTAGATCTCATTACGGATGGTTGTGAGTCACCATGTGGTTGTTGGGATTTGAACTCATGACCTCCTGAAGAGTAGTAGTCAGTGCTCTTAGCCGCTGAGCCATCTCTTCAGCCCTTAATTTTTATTTTATTTTTTTCAAGACAGGGTTTCTCTGTATGAGCCAATTTGTCTTGGAACTTGCTTTGTAGACAAGGCAGGCCTGTAACTCAAAAGGTTTACCTTGCCTCTGCCTCTTGAGTGCTGGTATTAAAGGCATGTACCACCACAACCAGCTGATCAGCTAATTTTTTTTTGAGACGGGATCTCTTAATGTATCCCTGGCTATCCTGGAACTCACAGAGATCCTCCTACCCCTGGCTCTTGAGTGCTGGGATTAAAGGCGTGTACCACCATGCCTGATACATGACCCAAGTTTGATACTTGGAAACCACGTGATAGGAATGAAGCAACTCCAGTAAGTTGTCTTTTGACTCCATGTATACTGGGGCAGGTATTGTACACATGCGCATACACAGAATACAATAAGAAAACTGATCTTAAGAGGTCAAGTAACTGAATGGTTTAAAGTTTCTTAAGAGCATAATGGTGAGAGCATCAATGAGTATGTGTTTAGAAAACCTTAATTTTGCTTGTTGCCTTCATACAATAGATTTTAAAAATTACACATTAAAGGCAAAGCATTGCTAATTAATTTTAACCGTTACTTTGAGGGATACTGGAGAATGTTTATTATAATCTTGGGCTTCAGTGGGCACCAGTCATTGGAGCACTTTGAGGGAGAACTTACCTAAGCCCATACATGGCCTTTTAGAAACTTTGGCCTAAATTTTAAGTATTTATTATTTGTGTGTGTGTGTGTGTGTGTGTGTGCGCGCGCGCGCGCGCGCGCGTGCGCGTGTGTATTTATATGTGTGTATATATGAGCAATATATACATAGAACACTATATCATATTTTTTATATATAATTAACACATACATGGTTTTTACTAAATCATCACAATAACAGAGTAAATAATCGCTGTCTATCAGGTAAAGGGCTCTGTAGTGGTTTATGTACAGAGTATGAAAGTAGGCAGTGATAGGAAAAATAAAACATTGAAAATTACTTAAGTATTTTGAAGAGAAAAGCCAAAATATAAGGATATAAGGTGGCATATGCCTGTATCACTTGGCAGAAAGATCAAGAAGATTTCAGTGTCAGCCTTGCTTACATAAGATTGAGGCTAGACTAGGCTACATGTGAGACCTTGCTCCAGTCTAAATATGCTTTATTGTTTTGTAAAAGTAGTTAGATTTAGAGCTGGAGAGATGGCTCAGGGGGTAAGAGCGTGGACTACTCTTTCAAAGCAAGCTTCTAATCCTAACATCTATGTAGTAGTCTATAATTGTCTATAATGTCAGTTACAGGGGCTCCTGACACTCTCTAATCTCTGCAGGCATTTATACACACATGGTACACATACATATATGCAGACAACATTCACATAAAATAAAAACAACTCTTTAATGTTAGAATTTATTATTTCTACTGATGTACTTTTGAAGTATGTCCTAAAACTAGCCCTTCCTAACAGTCTCTTGATCTCTAAAACTAAGCCAAAGGCTGTAGCTACAGTTGTACCACAGTTGCCTATCATGAGCCAGGCTGTGAGTTATTCTGCATCACTGTAAAAGAAAACAGGAAAATCAAGCTGAGGAGAAAGAAAATAGAGTGACTTCCTTTGTCCAGTTTTTCAAGTATCGTTATTCATTACCAGACTTCAGGTTTGTGTTAAAATAACTGAAGAGCTGGTCTCTGGTTGTGGAGCAGTACTGTAGGTAAATCAATCTCTGAGTGCTTCAGTCAGCCTTTACAATATATCTTCTTTTTGGAAATTCTGGGGACTGAATCAGAACTAACATGATACTCAGTTACTCTGATTGACCTCTGTCTCTAGCTCTTTGTTTGTTTCCTTAACTTTGACTAAATTACTCAGACCAGCCCTGAACTTTCTAGCAGTTCAGGCACCCTGGATATTGCCCTTCTGTTCTGATATCCAGTAGCTGAGATTATATATTTGTAACTGACTAGAGTATACCATATTCTTTTTAAGGTTTTCTGTTTAGTTCACTAGTGGTAAGACACAGCTGAAAACATATCAGCTTTTTATCAGATGGTCTAGTATAGTTTCAGAATCTTTTTTATGATTTTAAGGGCTTGTTCTAATTTCTTAACAGTTTTATGGTATAAAATTGGCATTGGGATGAGCATGATGGCATACTTTAATCCCAGCAGAGAGAGGAGGCAGAGTTAAGTGCCTCTGTGATTTCAAGGCCAGCCTGGTCTATAGAGTAAATTCTAGGCCAGATAAGACTACACAGTAAGACTACACAGAATGAAACAAAACAAAATTTGCATTGAGTCTTCCCCTGGACTCCTCTCAAGTAATTGAGAGCCAGGCATGGTGGTGTGAGTGGTATGGACCAACCCGAGCTATGTCAATGGGAGTGGGGAGCTGGGCCTCATGGTGCACACATGTAATTCCAGTACTCTTTATTCTCAGTCAGGTAGATCACAAATTTGAAGCCAGGCCTGGGCTACAGAGTGAGACTTTCAAAAAGCTAAAGGGAGGGAGAAAGAAAGGATAAAAGAAAAATAATAGCTTTATTTTTTCTACTTTTAAAATAAGTTAAGGGGTAGCATTCAGAGGCTGAAGCAAGAGGTTTGCCATAAAGTTCGTCGTGAAATTAAAAAATAAAAAGAAAAACTTCACAACCGTTTGTGTAAGAGAAGTATATGAGACTTAAGACCAGGAGTCAGACTGAACAAGAGTATTAGACATGACTACTTGAGGAGAATGAAGCAGGAGTAGGTAGGCAGCACAATTAGCTTGTATTTAAAATTAGCTCTCTGAGCTAAAGAAATGGCTGAGCCATTAAGAGCACTTGTTGCTCTTCCAGAGGACTAGAATTCTGTTCTAGCATCCACGTGGTGGCTCACAGCCATCCAAACAATCCAATCTAAGGGATCTAATATATGATATCTTCTGATGTACATGTGTACATACATGCAGGCAAAAACACTTTTAAGAGACAATAAATACCTTTTAAAGAAAGGAAGAAAAAAAACATAAAACTAGCCTTGCAGAGTGTGATGGTACATACTTTTAATCCAAGCACTGGTGAGGCAGAGTCAGGTGTATCTCTCAAGGCCAGTCAGGTCTATATAGTGAGACCTTGTCATTGTTCAAGTTCCCCTACCTCACCCCCAAAATATTCAATACCTCCAAGATTCACTATGTGCTCCTCTGACTGGAGAATAATCCTAAAAGCTTCCCTAGTAAGGCATAGAGAATACTGTTAACAAGGTAGGTTTAGTAACTCTGTAAAGTTAATTTCTTTTTTGTTTTTTTTCTTAAGGAATTGAATGACCTGGCTCGAGATCCACCAGCACAGTGTTCAGCAGGCCCTGTTGGAGATGATAGTAAGTATCTTAAGTTAGGAGTAAAGCCAGCATAGCAATACTTTTGCAAGAGAACTTGTATTTCTTGAGGATATTTGTTTATTTTTGTTATTATTTTAAGTGTATATATACGCTATTGGTCAAGTTTGACAAAGTTATGATCTGTTAAGAGGTATTTGCTGTTGGGAAAGGGGAGACTTAATGCTTAATTTCCTGTGACAGAACCTGTTTTACGTTCACCCAATCATCTTAGACTTTGAGATTCTTCTGCCAGCATTATTTTTGTGGTTGCTCTGGTCTCGTTGTTGTTTGGGGGGAGTTTTTGTTTTGTTTTGTTTTGTTTGTTTGTTTGGTTTGGTTTTTTTGAGACAGGGTTTCTCTATGTACTCCTGGCTGTCCTGGAACTCAGTCTGTAGACCAGACTGGCCTCGAACTCAGAAATCCGCCTGCCTCTGCCTCCCAAGTGCTGGGATTAAAGGCATGCGCCACCACTGCCCGGCGTCTCTTTCTACCTATCCTTTCTTTTGGCTGTTTTCCTAACATAAAAGACCTGGTACTATACCTGGCTATTTTGTTCTTAAAGGATGACATGGTATATGTGTGCTTGTATTTGACTATATTCTACTGGCTCATATGTATGAAAGCAGGTATAATTATTTGTATTCACTGTACTGAGAGTTGAACCCAGGGCCTTGTGTATGCTATAAGCAATCACTCTTATTACTGAGAAGCATCCCTAGCTAGGCTAGCTTAAAATTTATATTTGTTTGTATGTTTATTGTGTCTTGGGGGGGGTCCCTCCTTCTAACATTTGAGTCCCAGGGATTTAACTTAGGTTGTCAGGTTTCAGCAGATGCCTTTACTCACTGACCCTACCAACATTCTAATACTAGATTAATACTGTAATATTAAAGTTAGTATTAACAAAAAAGTCTCATCTAGTTTATGTAGTCCTTCTGTCCCAATTTCCCCAATGCTAGGATTGAAGTGGGAGCTATTAAGCCCGGATGATTTAGGAATTATTATTATTTTCCAATTTTGGGACACACTCCCCTGCTGCCACTTTCTTCTCTCATTGTGTCTTTCTAGCTACTCTGAACTCTGTGTGTAGACCAGCCTGCCCTGAGTTAGCAGAGATCTGTTTGTTTTAGCATCTGAGTGCTAAGATGAAAGGTGTGTGCAACCAGACCTGGTGAGAGGTTCTGTTTTTTTTTTTTTTTTTTTTTGTGTGTGTGTGTGTGTGTGTGTGTGTGTGTGTGTGTGTGTTTTGTTTGGGTTTTTTCCTTTCTTTTTTCTTTTTCTTTTTTTTTTTTCTTTTCTTTTTGAGACAGGGTTTTTTATGTAACAAAGACTTGGCTGTTCTGGACTTGATTTGTAGACCAGGTTGGCTTCAAATTCACAGAGATCCCCCTGCCTCTGCCTTCTGAGTGCTGGGACTTAAGGCCACCATGCCTGGCCTTGGTGGGAAGTTTTAACTATGCCAAAACATTAATTTTTGCTTTACTGCTATTGCAGTTTGTGTTACTACATTTTTTCTTATAGCAGAAATTGCTGTCCTGCAAAGTTAAGGACAAACTATCTTATCTATTGTTTAGTTTTTCAAGACAGGGTTTCTCAGTGTAGTTCTGGCTATCTTGAAAACTCAGTCTGTAGACCAGGCGAGCCTCAAACTGATGACCTGTCTCTTGCCTCCCAAGCACTGGGATTAAAGGTGGTGGAGACCACTGCCAAATATTTTTTAAATGTAGGTTACTTGGACTTGATTTAAAAAAAAATCAAAACAAAACTTAATTTACTACAAATGATAATACTGAGGAAAAAAAAACAATATATACCAAATATAGTGACATATGTCTTTGATTCCAGAATCTTAGTGGGTTTAGACAGGAGAGTTATGAGTCCACGATGAGTCTGTTCTATAGAGAGACTCTCAAGAGACAGAGCTATCATGAGATGTCACTAGAGTTCTTTTTTTAAAAAAATGTCAAAAAAGGCTGGAGGATGGCTCTGCAGTCAAGGATGCTTGCTTCTTTTTGAGAAGATATGATGAGTTCAGATCCAAGCACCCAGGAATAGCTCAAAACTTAACTCCTGTAACTCCAGTTCCAAAGGTTCCAGCACCCTCTCCTGGCCTCCCTAAGCATCCGCACATACATATAAACTAAAAATTGTTTTTTTTTAAAGTTAAAAAAAGAAAAAAGCCAGCTATCGTGGTATGTCCTCCTATAATCCCAATAATTGAGAGGCAGAGGCTACGGGGAGGGGGGTGGCTTTTGTTTTTTCAAGACAAGGTTTCTTCATGTAACAGCCCTGCTTGTCCTGTAGAGCAGACTAAGCTCTAAGAACTCAGAACTCAGAGATCTGCCTATCTTTTTCCATCAAGTGCTGGCATTAAAGTTGAGATTTGAAAGAGAAGAAAATGATAGAAGCTGGATGTGGCAGCACAAATTTATAATCCTAGCTCTTGAGAAGTTAAAAGGATCTCAAACAGCCTAGGCTAAATTAGTAAAGAGAGCAACAAAATGAAAAAGGTTGGGACTGGGGACATGGCTCACTAGCAACATTGACTATGCGGGCCTGAGTTTGAATTCCAGCACCCATGTGACAAGTCAGATGTGGTCACTCATGGACCCCATCATTGTGGAATGCTAAGACAAGATAGCTGGGGTTACTGGCTTGTCATTCTAGCTGAAAAACATAAGCTACAGACTTAAGGAGAGAGGCTGCTTCAAAACAGAAAGCTATACAATGAGAATTATCTGATACTGTCCTCTGACCTGTGCAGTGGAACATACATACACAGAGAGGAGGTCAGGAGGAAGAAGAGAGAAACCTTTAATCGGGAGTGGGGAGGTGGTCTCTATATAGCCCTAGATGGTCCCATCACTCACTGTCTAGACCTTTGTATAATCCTTGAACTTGCAGAGATCTCTTGTCTCACTGTCTTCCCAGTGTTACCAAAGATATGTGTCACTACATACAGTGCTTTTACTTTGTTATTCAAAATATAATGTTCTTCTATTTTTTCCCCTTTTTCTGCAATGAACTGATAAGGAGGAAAGAGGAGTACCTCCCCTTGAAGTAAGCTGAAGATATTTAATCTACTTGATTTTGGTTTGAACTTGGTGAAATGATCCTTTTGGGATCTGTATGTTCAGACATACATCGCTGGAGATTTAATTTCAAATAGTTTCAAACTAACAAATATTCTTACTATCCATTTTAACTTTAAGGCATCATCTGTAATTTGGTTTGCCAACATCAAATCAAAGTTGTAGTAGTTATTTTTACTGTCCAAGTTGTTTTCAGGGCTGAGTGTAGAGCTCGGTGATAGATGGAGGGAGTGCCTGTCTAGCAGGCCTGAAGCCAGGGCCCAACACTCAGCCAGCACCACACAGCAGGGTGAGGCCCATTTCAAACAACTCCTCAAGAGCTCCTTAACTATTTTTTGTGAAATGTGATATTTTATTTTGATCAATACTATTTCTAGAGTTCCTTCTACTTGAAACCTCTAGGAATTTCTCAAACTGTTAAAAAAGCTTTTGTCATTTGAATCAGGGTTAGATACTACATCACTGTTATTTTTCATTCATATAGCCACCTAAAGAGAATGAAGAGTATAATAAGGCTCCAAAGGAAAACCTGTTAATGATTCCAGTAGGTATTCTTACTGCTGTTGGTAGGACCAATAAGATGCTTAGTGGGTAAAAGAAAGCACTTACTAGCTTGATCTCTAAACCTGTGGTTGTAGGTGTGAACTGACTCTGAAAGTTGTACTCTGACCACCATTCTTCCATACACTTTGACACATATACACTATACCCACATTTCAATTTTTTAAATTTATTTTATTTATATGAGTCCTACTGTATACCAGAAGAGGGCATCAGATCCCATTACAGAGGGTTGTGAGCCACCATGTGATTATTGGGAATTGAACTCAGGACCTCTAGAAGAGCAGTCAGTGTTCTTGACTGCTGAGCCGTCTCTCCATCCCCACATTTCATAATTTTAAGTTCTCAAAAGTATAATCCTTCTCAGGTACAATACATTGTCTTTTTAGACAATGTCCCTTACTCTGTAGCCCAGGTTGGGCCTGAAATCTTGAGTAATCTTTCTGCTTCAGCCTCTCCCTCCTGCTGAAATTACAGGTGTGTGAACCATCAGAACTGTTTTCTTTCCCCTTCTTCCTTCCTTTACTTCCTTTTCTCCCTTCCTTTCTGTATGTGCAATAGTAGAAATTGAGTCTGTAGCCTCACATCTGCCAAACCAGTGCTCTACCATTAAGCCATAGCATCAGCCTTTTAATTTCTTCTTAAAATCTTCTTAAGATTTTTAGCAAGGCTGGGCGGTGGTGACAGAGTGAGTTCCAGGACAGCCAGGACTACACAGAGAAACCCTGTCTCGAAAAAACCACAAAAAAAAAAAAAAAAAAAAAAAGATTTTTAGCAAGAATAAGGAAGGATTGCTGTCAGGAGACTAGGAACAAAGAATTAGTACTTAACTACTAGAAAATTTTATACTTGAAACATCAATATTTTGAAATTGTTATTTAAGTGTCATTTTATCTGAGTTTTAGAAAATTACATGGAGTACAATATACAGATTTAAATTACATAAAAGAATTAAGTTGAAGGGCAAGACTTAAAAGAGATCTAGTTGGCAATTTGGTCATTACTACCTAGTAGAGGCTCTAGCCTTATTGGTATTGGGGTTTTGTTTGTTCAAATTTGTTTGTTTGTTTGTTTATGTGTTTATTTATTTAGGTTTTTGGTTTGAGGCAGGGTCTCAACTGTGTGTAGATCAGGTTGGACTCCAACTCACAGAGCTCTCTCTACCTCTTCCTCTGTAGTGTTGAGAACAAAGGCATATACTACAATGCCCACCTGACTCTTATTTCTTTAACCAGGACTTTTAAGAGTCTTTTATGGGACGTGGGTGAAGATAGTAGGACCAGGACAAGTATATAGCTCAGAACGATTTAACTGGTTTTATTTAATCAGTTGAATAATTGATTGTTCAAAAGTATGAAGAACTTAATTACAAGGAAAATACATTCAAAGGATAAAAACTTCAACAAAACATGCCAGGAATTTGAAAACATTTGAGAAACGGGTAAGTTTTGTTTTCATTTATTGAAGCAAAGTTAAAAACAGTTTAATTCCTGGGCCAGCAAAATGGCTCTACAGGTGAGGTGCTGCCAACCCTGACTACTTGAGCTCAGTCCCTGGGACCGAACCAACTTACCACAGTTTATTCTGACATGAAATCACACACAAAACAATATAAATACTTAATTCATGTGTTGTAGTAGAGTAGAGAAGGTTAACAACATATCCCTTGACAAGGTTGGAAGAGACTGCTGAACTTTACCTCATACCTAGAGGCATTTCTACTTACCTTGTGGTATCTAACTACTGTTTTTGTTTGATGCCTTCTAAAATGTGTTCGGTGACTCTAAATATGTTTTTCTGATAAGTGAGTTGCTATTGGTGATTTTGGGGCCTAATACAAGAAACAAACTATAGACAGTTACATATTGAGGAAGTCTGAGGACCTTTAGGGTTTAGACATCCCAATGAATTTTGATGTAGCTGCTTAGTCTTCACGCTTTCTCTAGTATGACAGGAGTTAGCTGGGTTGGGTGGTCTAGATAAAATCACATTGGCAGGGTCTCAGATTCTAGTGTAGATATTAATGGCTACGTTTTCCTTACAAACTCTCTTGTTCTCTGTATTGAGTAAGCCCACCTTAGAAATGGGACAAGTATTATTTTCCACTTTTATAGGAAGTTACCCTATTGACTACTTTGAAATTATCTCTATAGTTTATAATCAAACTTGTGTTTTGTGTGTTTGTATTTTAAAGTAGGGTTGAGGATTCAGCCCAGAGTCATTTATGCTAGGCAAATGCTTCATGTCCTCTCAGCTCTGTATTGAAGAATGTGCTGGAAACTCTAAAAACCTACACAAGATTATATTTATTTTTATTATATTTATTATTTTATTTGGAGACAGAGTTTCACTTTGCAGCCTCACTGTGTAGATCAGGCTGGCCTCAAAGTCAAGGAGATTATCTCACCTCTGCCTCATAAGTACTAAGATTAAATGTAAATCCCACAGCGTCTTGCCTTTGGTTGTTTGTTTTCTCTTTATTGTTAAAATCAATCTTTGGAGCTGGAAATGTAGCTCAGTTAGTAAAGTCCTTATTTTATGCACAAGCATAAAGTTAAAGCATTAAGTTAGAACCTCAATCAGTACTATATAAATATATAATGTCACACTGCCATCAGCTGAAATGAAATGTCATCTGTCCTTTGCTACACAACCATTTTTGAGCCAGTCTGCCATAAATGAGACCCTGTCTAAAAACTTTACATATCTTGGGGCTGGAGAAATGGTTTAGCAGTTAAGAGCACTGACTGTTCTTTCTGAAATTCATTCCCTTTTGTTAGCTCACAACTATGCGAAACTCCAGTTCCAGGGGATCTTGTCTTGCCTCCTGTCCTCTTAGGCACTGCACACGTGGGTTGCACACACATACATTGAGACAAAATACCATTGCCACATCTTTGCAGGGCTCCAGGGATTGAACTTGTCTGGGGTGCTGAATAAAGAAAATACAAACATGGACACAGAAAGGAAAGTCGAGATTGAATGGCTTGGGCTTTCTGGTAGAGAAACCATAGCACCCAAGAAGCTCAGTGTGTTCACTGTATAGAGTTAAACAGGAAAATGGGGTTATTGCATATAGCTGAAGAAAGAGGCCAAATTATTAACATATAGACAAACAAGAAGGCAAGTTTAGCTAATTTCTGTAGGAGCAGTTGCTATAGGAGAGTAGTCTTCAAGCTGTAAACATCCAGGGGAGAAAGTTATGGTGGGTATTTTCTGTTCACACTATAATCTCTTGCACACTGAGCAGAAAGTCTCTGCCATTCCTCTGAGCCTCATGCTGGAGGGGAAGGCTTTGCCATTTTCCCATATGGTTGAGGCTATGGACTCATGGACATGATTTTACCTATGTTAACAAGACACATTGACTCAGAAGTTGACTCATTCAAGACTTTCACTGTTCTGCACTATAAACAAAAGAGAAAACAAAAAGACATCAACTTCTCTCAGCTGAGAAGAAGATGGCCCAGTGGGTAAAGTGTTAACATGGGTTAATATGCCAACATCAATAGAAAAAGGTAGGTGTATGGCAGTGTACATGAAACCAGTGCTGGAAAATATGGAAATAAGTGGATTGGGGCTCAGTGGCCAGCCATTCATTGTAGCTAAAAGGCCAGCTTCAAGTTCAGTTAGAAACCCTGTCTGTAGTGAAAGCAAAGTAGAGAATAATAAAGAAAACATTTCTGGTCTACAGAGTGAGTTCCAGGACAGCCAGGGCTACACAGAGAAACCTTGTCTCAAAAGCAAAAAGAAAGAAAGAAAACATTTAATTGGTTGTAGTTTCAAAGGTTTAGTCCATTATCATCATAGGGGGAAGCATGGCAGCCTGCAGGGAGACATGGTACTAGAGCAAGAGCTGAGAATTCTACAACTTGATCCGAAGGGAGCAGAAAAATCCTGTGTATTTCAATGAGCATAGCTTAAACACAGTATAACCTCAAAGATGCCACTCCCTTTGGGCCAAGCCTTCAAACACATGAGATGAGAAGGGGGGGAGCATTCCTATTCAAACCACCATGATACCCAACATCAACTTACTGTGTGTGTGTGTGCGCGCGCGTGCGCGCATATGGACACAAATACTCAAGAATAAATTATTCTTAATTTGAGTATGTGGACCCTTTCTGCCATGTCAGCATTATTCTTAAGTATATTTTACGAAATTATATTAAGGAATGATTAAATCTTGGAGGTATGCTGGCAGTGGTGGTAAACATCTTTTATCCCAGCACTCCAGAGGCAGATCTCTGTGAGGTTTTTTTTGGGGGGGGAGGGGGTGGGTGGGGGTGGGAGGAGGTTGTTTGATGTGTGTGTTTAATTTATTTAATGTATATGAAGACTCCATCTGCATGAATGCCTACAGATCAGAAGAAAACATCAGATTCCATCATACATGGTTGTGAAATGCCACGTAATTGCTGAGAATTGGACTTGGGACCTCAGAAAGAACAGCCAGTGCTTGTAACTACTAAAACACCTGTCTAGTGCAGATCTCTGTGAGTTTAAGGATAGTCTACAGAGTGAGTTCCAGGACATAGAGAAACCCTGCCTCATAAAGGAAGGAAGGAAGGAAGGACGGACGGACGGACGGACGGACGGACGGACGGACAGACAGACAGACAGACAGACAGACTGACTTGGAGGCAAGGAAATAATTTTTAATAGTACTTAGGGCCTTCTTATAGGGTTTGTCAACAAATTTATCTCCCAGGCATGACTTTGGGACAAGTTTTTGTTTCTTAGTAGGCTGGTTTTGTGACAGAATCACTGTGTAGCATGGGTCACCTGAAACTCATTATGTAGACCAGGTTGGCCTCACACCCTTTACTTATTAGCCAAAGATAAATTTAAATTTAGCATTATGCCTCAGCTTTGTCAAAATTGTTGTTGTAGGCATGCTGTACTACCATCCTTAGTTCCAAATACTTTATATTTACTTTGTGTGTGTGCGTGTGCACATGTGTACAAGCTATGAAACATGTTTGGAGGGCAGAGAACAGCTTGGGAGCTGGTTTTCTCCTGTGTGAATTCTGGAAATCAAACATGTCAGTCTTGATAGCAAAGCTTTTCTTATCAAGCCACCTTGTTGGCCTTAAGAAAAATGTCTTGGATCTTTAGTTTTGGTGGTAGTGATGTGTATAACATGCGTGAGCACATGAGTTTGAATGTTTGAAAACCAGTAGAGGGCATCAGATTCTCTGGAGCTAGAATTACAGGTTGTTACGAGCTACCTGATTCAGGTGCTTAGAAATGAACTCTGGTCTGCAAGAAGAATGTGCATGCTTAACTGCCAAGCTATCTTTCTAGCCCCTCCAAATGTATTAAGACCAACTGTCTTTTTTGTTTTGTTTTGTTTTGTTTTGTATTTTTTGGTCTTTTTGTTGTTGATGGGGTTTTTTTTTTGGGTGTTGGTGGTTGTTTGGGGGCTTGAGACTGGCTTTCTCTGTAACTAGAACTCTGGCTGGCCTTCAGTTGAGAGATCTACCTGCCTCTGCTTCCCTCCTGAGTGCTGGGATTGAAGGTAGGCACTGCCACACTCTGCTCACTTGTCTGTCTCTCTCTCTGTCTGCTTCCTCCCTCCCTCCCTTCCTTTTTTAATGGTTTGGACTCAATTGGTTTAGTCTTCATCCTGCCCGTAGAAACTAGTCTTTATCCTATTTATAAATAAACATTGATTAGGTACTTTGTAGGTGTAATGTGAATATTGTTAATTAACATGGTGACTTTTTTTTTTCTTTTTTCTTTTCAGTGTTTCATTGGCAGGCTACAATAATGGGGCCAGTAAGTATTCATTTTAATTCTTTAATAGTTGTTTTATGTAGTTTATTCATTTTTAATCTTGGCTTTCTTATCATCAACAGAATGACAGCCCCTATCAGGGTGGAGTATTTTTCTTGACAATTCATTTCCCAACAGATTACCCCTTCAAACCGCCTAAGGTAATTGGTGTGTGATCATTGCTCTTAAGATGCTCTGTATGGTATTGGTAAACCAATCACCAAGATTTCTTTTTCTTTAGGTTGCATTTACAACGAGAATTTATCATCCAAATATTAACAGTAATGGCAGCATTTGTCTTGATATTCTACGGTCACAGTGGTCTCCAGCACTAACTATTTCAAAAGGTAATAGAATAGTTGTTTGATATCAAGATGAAATAACTGATTTTTGTGTGGGGTGTGGAGGTGCACACCTTTAATACCAGCACTGGGGAGGCAGAGGCAAGCAGGTCTCTTGAGTGCCAGGCCTATATAGTGAGACCCTGTCTCAGAAGGGAAAAAGTAACTGCTAATGTTACTGTTCTCTGTTGGTTTCTCTCTTTAAGATTATCTTTTTATCAAATTAATTATTTTGTATGTGAGTGTTTGCATGTATGTCTTTGCACCATGTGTGTATCTGGTGCCCCCAGAGGCCAGAAGATAGAATGAGCTAGCATGTGAGTACTGGAACTTAACCGGGGATCTTCTGAGCAGCCAGTATATTTAACTGCTTAATTTAACTTTCCAGTCCTGGCTGCTTTTCTTTTTTTTAATGTAACTTCTGTTCCCTTTTAAAAGGACCAGTCTCCCTTAGTTTGTAATAGTATTTGTTTTATTCAATGGAAAAGAGTTGAATTTTGAAGAATTGATCCATAGTAGTAAGATGCCAGGTTTTTGATTGATACTCAAGAGCAGGTAGGAAGCTGCTGTGGTGGTGTATACACTGTAATCCTAATACTTGGAAAGTGGGAGAAGAATGATGACTAGCAGTTCAAAGTTACACTTCGTTGTATAGCAAGCAGGTTTGAAGCTAGAATGGTACAAGAGTAAGGTCCTGCCTTAAAGTGTAAGTAAACTAGCTTCCACCAAGAAAGTGAATGATGTGATTGTTTCAGTTTATTTGTTTATTATTGTGCCTGTATGTTATCTCCTGCCTTATATGGGTTCCAGAAATCAAACTCAGCTTGGCTGGCTGTTCCAGCCGCTGTTTAACTTGCTTAGCCATTTCATTTAAGTCCTGTTTATTTTTGTTGATGGTCGGGTTTTTTTGTTTGTGTTCGTTTTGCATTTGTTTTAAGACACGACCTTATTTTGTAGTTAAGGCTGGCCTTAGCTTCTACAGTGCTGGGATTACAAGTGTGAGCTTCTGTACCTGGTTAAATTTTGTTTCATTTTTGAGACAATCTCCTAGATTCTAGATTATCCTTGAAGTTTCTGTGTAACTTACTGTGTCAGACAACCACTCTTGCCTGTTTTTGGAAATTTGACAGTTGATTTTTTTCTGAATGTAAGCTTCTAAAAATTGAGTTTCACTAGTACTGACAAGTATTCTCAATCTTGGATTTAGAAGAGCTGTTTTTGTTCTGCTAATAACTGAACTCAGAGCGGAACCTAATGGACATTATGCAAACTCTCCACCACTAAGCTACATGCATTCACAAGTCTATATTCTTAACATTGTTGGCATCTCAGGTTGGGTTTTTGATGGTGGTTTGGTTTTTTTCTTCCTTGGAAACAGGGTCTTACTGTGCTACTGTGGCTGGCCTTGAATTCACAGAGATCCACCTTTTCACCTGCCTCTGCCTCCTGAGTGCTTCGATTAAAGACCATGCCGAGTGTCTGATGTTTAAACCTTTTGCTTTGGTCTTCTACTAACCTACACTTTTTTTTTTTTTTTTAAATATCCCAGTACTTTTGTCCATCTGTTCTCTGTTGTGTGATCCCAATCCAGATGATCCTTTAGTGCCTGAGATTGCTCGGATCTACAAAACAGATAGAGAAAAGTAAGTATCACCTCCAGATGGAAAACTGTCAGGCATGGAATAGAGCTGCCTTACAACTTCTTACTTATAGTGTTGAATATACACCAAATGTTTAAGATAAACCTCTAAGAAGAGGTACATGGAACAGGTTTCTATACCAAATATTATAAACAGATGATACTAATATATAATTGTCTGATGTAACTTCTACTAAAAAAACTTTCCTACAGTACTTTATAAAAATACCCTTGTGTCTTGTTTGGTTTAAGACTTATGAATCATTGTGTATCCGGTTCCCATTTATTTTACATATAGTTTGGTAAATTAATGGGAAAGATAACTGACTTTACTACCATTTGGCATAAAGGTGCCAAATCTTTTTTTTTTTTTTTTTTTTTTTTTTTGGTTTTGGTTTTGGTTTTTCAAGACAGTTTCTTTGTGTAGCCCTGGCTGTCCTGGAACTCAGTCTGTAGACCAGGCTGGCCTCGAACTCAGAAATCTGCCTGCCTCTGCCTCCCAAGTTCTGGGATTAAAGGCGTGCGTCACCACTGCCCAGCGCCAAATCTTTTAAAAACAAATTTTGATGTAGAACTAGTTATTTTAGGACTGTACACTGTGTGACTTATTAAAAAATGATCAGGGTATCAAAAGTAACAAAGAGTTCTACCCATTTTTGCTTCTGTGTCTTACTTAGTGAGATTAAGATAGGATATGGGGGAAGTGCTTTTTTTTTTTAAGATTTATTTATTGTATATGAGTACACTGTAGCTGTTTTCAGATGGCAGAAGAGGGCATTGGATCCTATTAGAGATGGTTGTGAGCCACCATGTGGTTATTGGGAATTGACCTCCGGAACAATAGTCAGAGCTCTATGACCACTGAACCATCTCTCCAGCCCTGCTGTTTTGAGACAGCATTTCTTGTGTAGCCCAGGCTGGCCTGAAACTCAAAAGATCCTCCTGCCTCTGCCTCTCAGTGCTAGGATTAAAGGCACATGCTGGTGATGGCACAGGCCTTTAATTTCAGCACTCAGGAGAGAGGAGAAGGCAGATTTCTGAGTTCAATGCCAGCCAGAGCTATGTGGAGGAACCCTGTCTTGAATACCTCCCACCCCCAAAAACAGGCAGATGTCACCATACCTTTCCCACTACACATAGCAAGCTTTTGAATTCAAAACATAAAAGACTAGCTGAGTGTGGAAGCCCATACCTTTGATCCCAGCTCTTGTGAAGCAGGGACAGATTCAGACCCTATATCTCAATTAATTAAAAAATAAAATGTTACAATTACTTAAAATCTGTTGTATTATAAAGTCATAGATACAAGCTGGGCTGTTGTGTACATCTTTATCTTTAATTCCAGTGTTTGGGAGGCAGAGGCAGGCAGATCTCTATGAGTTCAAGACCAACCTGTTATACAAAGTAAGGTCCAGGAAAGACAAGGCTATATAGAAAAACCCTGTCTCAATGGGAAAGAAAAAAGGAAAAGAAAGTCATTCGTGTGTGTGTGTGTGTGTGTGTGTGTGTGTGTGTGTGTGTGTGTGTGTGTGTATGCAGAGTATTGAAGCTGGAGGATTATGAATTTGAAGTCACCTTGAACAACAGAATGATAACTGTTTCCTTTTTTTTTTTTTTTTCCGAGACGGGATTTCTCTGTGTAGCTCTGGCTGTCCTGGAACTCACTTTGTAGACCAGGCTGGCCTCGAACTCAGAAATCTGCCTGCCTCTGCCTCCCAAGTGCTGGGATTAAAGGCGTGCGCTACCACCGCCCAGCATGATAACTGTTTCAAAAGACTCAAAATCAAAAATGATAGAAAAGTTAAGTTTTGTTGTTGCTGTTAGTGTTTAATGAAGCTACACCAGCAATAGAAAGAGAATACTGGCACTAATTCTTAGCTTAGTTTTGTTTTGTTTGTGTCCGCATACCATTAATAATCATGTGTTTCTGGCTGAATTAAAATGTCTTTAATATTGTGTGTTTTGTGTTTTGCCTGCATGTTTGTGCAGAGGACACAGATTCCCTAGAGTTGGCTTTAGATGAACACCATGTTAGTGCTGGAATTTGAACCAAGGTCCTCTAGAAGAGCAGCTGGTTCTCTTAACTGCTAGCCGTCTGTCTCTTATCTCTCCAGATCCTGAAGCTTTACTTAATTATTAAATGTATTGAGGCAGGGTTTCACAAAAAAAGCCTTGCCTGGCCTAGAACTCACATAAATGTACCTGCCTCTGCCTCCCAAGTATTATGGTTAAAGGTATGTGTTCCCAAACCTTAGCTGCATTATTTTCTTAGTGCGTTATACATGACTATTTTGATTAGAAACCATTTTGTCTAATATCTAGAACTGTGGCTATGAATGCTTTTCAGGAAGATATCCTAAGTCATCATAGTACTAATGTTTATATTTATAAAAATAAAATTTATTGCCTGGAGGCACAGGCAGGCAGATCTCTTGATTTTGAGGATGGTCTACAAAAGGAGTTCCAGAACAGCCAGGGCTACACAGAGAAACCCTGCCTGATGGTACATTCCTGCTCCTTTTTTTTTTTTTTAATTTATTTATTTTTCTATTATGTACATTAATCCTTTGCCTGTAAGTATGTCTATATGGGGGTGTCAGATCCCCTGGAATAGGAGCTACAGATAGTTGTGGGCTGCTATGTAGGTGCTGGGAATTCTGGGAGAGCAGCCAGTGAAAGAGCTGTGAGCCATCTCCAGCCCACACTCCTGGTATTTGTTCTTTTTCTTGTTTTGGTTTGTTTTTGTTTTGAGATGGTCTCATGTAGCTGAGGCTGGCCTCCTAATTCACTGTGTAACTTTGGGTGATCTTGAACCTCCTGTCTTTACCCCTTAAATGCTGTGATTACAAGTGTATTCTCCTAGACTTACACAAGTTTTCTCTGTTTATTTGGTTACTGGAATGTTTTACAAATTAAACCCTACCAGAATGAATTATTTTATTAATATAAAGGAGATATTGTGTCATTTTATTTCTTTGTAGGGTTTTGTTTGTTTTTTGTTTTTGGAGACAGTATCTCACCATGTAGGCTTGCTACAGCTGGATGTGTATACCAAACTCACCTTCAGTTCACAGATACCTACTTGCCTGTGCCTTCAAAGTGCTAGGACTAAAGAAGTGCACCACCATATTCAACTCCTTGTAGTTTTTTTTATTTACTTTATGTGAATGACTAGGTGAGAGTTGATGTATATGTATATGTACCATGTGGGTGACTGGTACCCACAAAGTCCATGAGAGGGAGTTGGATCTCTAGAACTGGAGTTGCAGGTATTTGTGACCTGCCTGTCACGTAGGTGCTAGGTGAATGAGGTCCTCCTTGACAGCAGCAAGTCTCTTACCTGCTGAGCTGTCTCTAGCTCCCCTGCTGTATTTTTGTGAGACAAGACTCTTTGTGTAATACAGGCTGGTCTCATTCTTTTTTGTGTTTTGATACAATTTCTGGAATCTCATACTTCAGTCTCCCCACTTAGCTCATTATGCTGTTTAAATCACTGTTTTGTTTTAATATTTATTTTATGTATATGAGTACATTGTCACTGTCTTCAGACACACCAGAAGAGGGCATCGGATCCCATTGCAAATGGTTGTGAGCCACCATGTGGCTGCTGGGAATTGAACTCAGGACCTCTGGAAGAGCAGTTAGAGCACTTAACCGCTGAGCCATCTCTCCAGCTCTAAATCACTGTTATATGATTTTAAGAACTATATAATATTAAATTACATAGTCACAAAATTCTTACATAATCAGGTGTGTTAGCACATGCCTATAACCCTCCAAAGTTGGGAAGACTCTGTGGGTTTAAGGTTAGCTTTGGCTACATATTGAAACTATCTAAAATACATTTAAAAAAATGAAAGTCAATCGAAACATAAGATGGCCAGGGGTGGTAGTGGCACACCCCTTTAATCCCAGAATTCAGGAGACAGAGGCAGGTAGATCTCAGTGAGTTCTAGGCCAGCCTGTCTATAAATCGAGTTCCAGGATAGCCAGGATTGATACACAGAGAAACCCTGTGTTAAAAACCAGAAAACAAAGCTGGGCGGTGGTGGCGCATGCCCTTAATCCCAGCACTTGGGAGGCAGAGGCAGGCGGATTTCTGAGTTTGAGGCCAGCCTGATCTACAGAGTGAGTTCCAGGACAGCCAGAACTACACAGAGAAACCCTGTCTTGAAAAACCCCACCACCCCCCCCCCCCCCAAAAAAAAAAAAAAAAGAAAACATAGGATGACGTACATACTAGCAGATACTAAACTTGTATCTGAGTCCTTTAGATACTATATTTATAGGAAATTGTTTTGGATTTTACAACAGTGTCTCATTGTATCCTGAGGATAGGCTTATTTATAATTGGTAAAGCTAGGTGTTGGCACATCCCTGTAATAGCAACAACCCAGGAGGGTTGCCACAAGTTTTGAGGCCATCCTAGTTTTAGATAGTTCATGGTCAGCCATGGCTTTCAAGTAAAGGCAGGTAGTAGGGGGGTAATATGTGAAAGAAATTAGAGGATGGAAAGTGATTTTGTTTTTTGGTTTTGGTTTTTTTGTTTTGTTTTGTTTTTGTTTGTTTGCTTGTTTGTTTGTTTTTGGTTTGGTTTTTTGAGACAGGGTTTCTCTGTGTAGCCCTGACCTGGAACTCACTCTGTAGACCAGGCTGGCCTTGAACTCTCGAACTCAGAAATCCGCCTGCCTCTGCCTCCCAAGTGGAAAGTGATTTTGTTTGAACATTTTTAGTTATTGCCTTAAAATTACTAGTTTGGATACTGAATGAAATATGTTGCTTATTGACTCCTTACCTATGTTAAGCCAAGTTCTCTTTGTGTGTGTACAGGTACAACAGAATAGCTCGAGAATGGACTCAGAAGTATGCGATGTAATTAAAGAAATTATTGGATAACCTCTACAAATAAAGCTAGGGGAACTCTGAGAGAGAGAAAGTCCTTTTGATTTCCATTTGACTGCTTTCTATGAGCCCACGCCTCATCTTCCCCTGTGCACATGTTTACCTGACACAGCAGTGCTGCGTGTTGTACATACTTGGAACAACAAACTAGAAATACTGTACTTCTGTACCAACATTGCCTCCTAGCAGAGAAGTGTGTGTGTGAGAAGCCAGTTCTTCGGGCGTAACCTAGGTGTGAGACTAAAAGCTTTCCTTATTGACTTAACTTTGGATAATGGCAAGATGTGAGGGGTAGTAGGTACACAGTGTGTGCTTGAATGGGAGGAATAAGCTCCAGTGACCCATAGGAGAGTGTCCTTAAGTGGAATCCATCTAATCTCAAACAGTCATAAAAATCAAAGTGAAGAACGTGAAGCTGTTTCTGTATTCATTTCATCCTGAAGAACCTACAACTTAGGTGAAAGTTATGACCAAACAGATAAAACTACATTCTGTGTTTTAAGGTCTAAGAGCATTTGAATGGACTGGAGCTGTTAGTACATAAAGTGTGATGGGCTTTGTTCCCCACACTTTCACATCTCCCGGCCCTTTCAGCCTTCCTCCTTTTAGCTCCTTTCCATAATCTTTGGTTTGTATGTGGTTTCTCAGTTAATACATAGCTAATAGCTCTTATTTTTCTTATGTTTTTAACTGCTTTAGGCCTATTTCGATGTAAGGGTGAAAATTTATTTGATGGAAATACTTGTGTATATTTAAAGACCCAGTTGCTCCTCTGGAGCTTGTACGTTCAAGAATGATTAATCTGTGTAATAAACTGATTACTACAGTCATTACATACAATTTTGTGTGAATAGGCTTTTTGATTTAAAAACTTGGTCTAGCTAAGATTAGTGGTGTATTTTTTCCTCACCCCTGAAATGTTTTCCTTTATATTCGTTGCATTTCAAAATCATGAAACAATTCCAGTTTACATACTAAAATCGATATGAGAGTAATTTTATTAAAGATGGAGGCATAAGCTTAAAGGCGTTTTCATGAAACCTATATGTGCACCATTCCAGGAACATGACTGTTAAACTAAATAAATTTGCTTTGTTAATGAAACTGAGCAGCATTTCACCAAAACCTTGTGACAGTCTCTTGGTACATAGGACATAGACCACAAAGGGGTTGCTGTCTGATAAGTTAACTGATTGTAATTATAAAGAGTAACTGACCAAACCTGGGAAACATGAGCACAATCTTGTATTGGAGAGTCTACGTTATTACTTTGCACTAACATTTGCAGGATGTCATATTGGTTTTCAATTGTACTGTATGTGGCTTTTTGAAGTCTTCCCTTGACTCTAGTAAAATGTAGTTTGAAATTTGTAAACAGCTGTTAATCCAGAAACATTCATGTGAACTAAGCAAGTTCCCTCCCCTTGTCCATTTTCCTAACCTAAATGTAAGCCAGGCCAGCTTGAGGCTATGGCCGATGCTCTCTAGTCATCAGGTTCTTTGAACGCATCTTTACACTCTTGCACAAAAATTGAAGAATAAATGACCACTGCTTTTGGTTTTAAACTTGTTCACCTGTCTCATCTCTCAGTGTCAGTGTTCCTCCATCTCAACCTATCAGCTAAAAGGCTCTTAATTAGCTGGCTGCTTACATGAATTTCAGGAATGCTATATTAGCATCTCCTTGGCCTTGCAGATAATGGCTTTCGCCAGTTATGAAAAAAAATTCAGAATTGAGCTATAAGCAGAAATTACCATGTATAATTACTGTTATAGGCAGATGGAAGTTCACTTTTGAGTGCTGTGTGTGTTTGTCTGTTTCAGTGGGCCCCAGTCCCTGTAGATGCTAATCAAGTACTCTGTTATTGACTGGATTTATCACTGCTGAACTTCCCTGTTCTTATTATCAACTTTTCTACTTTGGGTTCCATTGCACAGCTCTCATTTGCCCATTCTTACTTGCCTCTCATCTCAGAGAACTGCTAGTCTATTACTATTTTTTAAGTTATAGTGTGGGCAGTTATTTTATTTTATTTTTTAAACAAGAGTGGTCTTAGATTTTTGTGCTGAATAAAAGCTTGATGTGCAAGTTTGGGTGGTCACGGACAATATGAGGCTGGGAAGTGCAGTTTTGAGGATGAAGCACTTTGGGTCCAGTTGTTTTGATTCCCTGTAAGAGAACAGATGTCACTCAGGCTGATTCTCACATAGGCTCACACAAAGTTTCTCTGATGTCTAATGGCTAGTTTGAACCAACCTTGTTTTATTCTGGTGCTATGGCTGTTACAAAAGAATGAAAGTTATGGGAGGGTTGTTATTGTTGTTTGGGTGCTTAAGTTATTACTTTAGGCAATTTTGTCAAGTTATATTCAGAGCAATCTTTTGATAAAACCAAACCATTTTAGATATTGGTGTCACTGGCTAATAGTCAAAGGCATCATTGTTCTGCTAACTTTGTCTAGAACAAAGATATAGCAGGACCATAATGGTGTTTGAAGAGATAGGAAGGTTTGTGGAAAAAAGGAAAATGTGACCAGTGACTGATGCTTTTTATGCACTGACCTAGTGGTAGAAACATTCCTACTTCCAATCCCACTTTTTATATTGAGCCTTAGATTGGCAGGAGAAATGAGTTATTTCTAAATTATAGTCAGAATGCCTATATATTGTCCCTTGTCTCCAGTTAAGGACAAACTCTGGCTTTGACTTAGAAATATAGGACCCTTAACACTTGTGCGAGGTTTCAATAGAATTGTCTTTTGTTTCTGGCTCTTTTGGATTGTGAATATACTTCCTCTTCTTACCCCCATACCTTTCACCATTGGAGCTGTGGAATATACTCCTAGTCTAGGTTCTTGTTTCCCTGTGTTGTGTGTGCACTTAGATAAGTACTGGTTTTCTCCAAGTTCTCTTTCCTTAAAGCCTTTGCATAAGTATAGTGGTTCACAGGTTATCCAGTTCTTTGGAAGTATAGGCTTAAGTCTGGAGTTCAAGAGATCCTGTCTAAGTAAAAGAAGAAAAAAAACCTTTCTCTTGGCATTGCAACCTTACTTAAAGCAGTTGTATTCTAGATCATTCCTGAACCAATCATTGTTGCTGTATTTTACCTTTACCTTAATGTAAATTTCAAATTTAGTTTGAAAGCCTTTATGGCCTTTGGCCTCAAGACACTGTCTAGCCACCATCTAGCTTTGTTATCTCAGGGACTTCATTTTTGCTAATTGAGGCAAAGTTAGACATTTTGACTAGTGGCTAGGGATCATCTTTGACTTGTTCGTAGTGTTACCTTCTATCAGATGCACATCTGTTAACAGGACTGGGAATGTAACTCTAGCTGCTTGTGTAGAATGCACAAGGATTTGAATTGATCCTTATTACTTCACTCCTAAAAGAGTACCTTGGTACAAGTACAGCAGCTTATCAGTTTGTTTGTTTGTTTTCATTGTTTGATTTTAACCTATGTAAGCTGTTTGTAGAATGTCCTATATTGAAAGCAAATGGTCGATCACTTTTAGGAAAGAAAGCAAGAAGCCACTAAATATTCAAGCTAGGTTCTTAAGATACGGTGCAGACAGAAATGAATAGTAGGAGCCCTGATAGGTGTACTGAGTTCCCCTCAACCTTGTGAGGGTGTGATGGGTGCCTGCTGCAGCTCCTTTAGGTACATAACAGTCTCCCATATCTTCCTTCCTTCCTCCCTCCCTCCCTCCTCCCCCCTCTCTCTCTCTTTCTTTCTTTTCTGGGGGAGGGGGGTAGAGACAGGGTTTCTTTGTGTAGCCCTGGCTGTCCTCTGTCCTGGAACTCACTCTGTAGACCAGGCTGGCCTCGAACTCAAAAATCCACCTTCCTCAGAAATCTGCCAAGTGCTGGGATTAAAGGCATGTGCCACCACTGCCTGGCTCTGATTTAAATTTCTTACTGAAGTACTTAAACCTTGATTTTTTTTTTTTTTGACATTTAGTCTTTCTTTTGTTATATATGCTGTGTTTGAACTTGTGAGCTGAATTCTTCCTGTTTCTGTTTCCTAGGATCTGGGACTATAAGCATAGGATACTACACTCAGTTCAATTTTGAAAATATTTATATTTTCATGTAGCCCAGACTGGCTTCAAACTTATGGAGCTGCAGATGTCCTTGAGATTCCAGTCATTCTGCTTCCCTAGTACTGGAATAATAAACATCATGCACCTCTAACAGTTACGCAATGCAGAGAACTGAGCCAGGATGTCCTACATGCTAGACAAGCAGACACTCCACCAACTATAAATATTTTTAGCATCCATTTTATTTTTTATTGTTTTTGAGACAGACTTTCTCTGTGTAGCTGGGCTATCCTAAACCTTGCTCTATGGATCAGTCTGGCTCAGAATTGCAGAAATCTACCAACCTCGGCTTCCCAAGTGCTTCCCAAGATGAAAGGTATTCAATACGATTCTTGTGAGCCTCCATGTGTACCACATACACATGTCTTAGGGTACCAGATACCCTAGAACTCACCAGAATCCCTAAAACTAGAGTTACTGGTAGTTATGGGGTACCATGTAAGTGCAATAGCATTAAGTGTGAATGTGTATGTGGTTTTGAGCATGTCTCAGCACATGCGTGGTTAGAGAACAAGGCCCTGGAGGTGGTGTTCTTCCATCATGCTAGTTCTAAAGGTTGAATTTAGTTGTCAGGCTTGACAGCAAGTAGTACCTTTACTTGGGGAGCAATCTTGTTCCTTGGATGTTAATCTTAAATTTTTATAGTAGGTGAAGAGGGGGTTTTGTTGAAGGAGACCCATCTTCCCCCAAATTGCCAGTTTTTTCAGGTTTGGTCTCCCTAAAAATTGAGATTGAAGTTTCTGGAGGCATTCCAAAGAGATAATCTGGCATCTAGGCTTTAAATAAAGCCAGCACTGTCTCAGAAGAGAATGGTTCCATGCTTGAAGTAATTGGTTGATTACTCTGTGACTCTAAGGTCTGGAGCTTTCCCCCACCAATAAGATATTACTCATTGCTTTTACTCATCAGGACACCTCAGTCCTCCAAGCTAAAGTTACAGCCTTCTTTGAAGATGTACCTAAGGGACAGAATATTGTGCCAACTGCTAAAGGATCTAGTCTTGTTTTAGAGGACATGTGAGCTTCCAGGCACTTGCTGTGGAGTCTTGAAAGGGACTGTGGAAAAAGAAAGGGGAGTTGAACTTTTTGGAAATGCGTCTTTTTACTTAGACTTTGGAGCAGATAGGGCAAGGACATGAGACAAGATAGGAGGAGGAGCTGGTGGATTGTTGAGTTCGCCTGCAAATGTGTGTGCAACTCCTGAGCTGCAGTGATGTTCAGTCTTTGTTTATATTTGGGATGGGAGTCAGACAGAATTGCCCTAACACATCTTTTTTCTTCCTTAATTTTTATGTATTCTGCCCACTGTTAACTCATGGTTCAACAGACAGTAACCAAATTAGGGATATATTTACAGTGTCTTCTGATAAAGGAGGTTCTGTGTGGGTGCTAGTTTCTCTGTAGCCAGCAGAGGGCAATGATGACCTGTAGCTTTTAAAACTACAAGGTGTGTGAGGTCAGAGAATGTGCATGGACAGAACCTAAGAGGAGCTTTTGTTTTGAGTAAGGAGGCTTTTGGAGTTGGCTTTTTGTTGGTGTCTTTAGAAGCAGATGGACCAGTGCTTTGTTCAGTCAGGTACTCGAAAAGGTTTACTGTAAGAGAACATGTTATAGTGACTTATGTTCTGTTCCTAGGCCTACCAAAAATACCAAAGTACTGGGTCATCTTTACCTGGTACTCTTGTAGTCAGTCGTCTCTGTTACATAAACAACTTCAACATCAGCTTTACCCACTTGGTTGTGTTCATTGTTTATGTGAACAAGGGGATTCACATTTCTGGTGCCCACTGTTGTTTTTTCAAAAGCGGGTAGTTAGTCCATCAACAAGTCAAGTTTGACTTGTTTGCCTATATCAGTTGGGCAGCCATGACATAATTCTTTTATGCCCAAGGATGGAGATTCAGAAGAAAAAAAAAATGGTAGAGCGCTAGTGGTAAGGCCTGGGCAATACTCCTTTTCCTTCTATCTTGTGATTTGGGGCCCAGGGCTTTCTAGTGTTCCAGTGCAACAGCTGTGGGCCTCCAGGGCCACCATCCGGAAGCCAGCTGTCTCTTCATTGGGAATTCTTTGAAATTGTAGGCTTGGCCATCTGGATATGCAAATAACTTTAGATTTGCTGAAGTCACCAAGTAGCTGCAACCCAGACAGAGCTATTAGAACCAATACTACCCTACCCTCAGATTAGGAAAGTATCTAGGGGCTGTTGGTGCCTGGAGGTCGGGCTTTTGGTTGTATACCTCTACAGAGGGAAGTCTAGGGGACTCCCTAAGTTCTGCTTTAGCTTAAACTTTAGACTTAAGAAAGACCCTTTAGCCGGGCGGTGGTGGCGCACGCCTTTAATCCCAGCACTTGGGAGGCAGAGGCAGGTGGATTTCTGAGTTGAGAGTTCAAGGCTAGCCTGGTCTACAGAGTGAGTTCCAGGACAGCCAGGGCTACACAGAGAAACCCTGTCTCGAAAAAAAAAAAAA